TCTGGCTCGGACTGTCTTATTCTAACACAAAAAGTTTATGTTCCAAGAACACTGTTTTGTTCTTAGAACATTTCTCGGTTCAAAGAACATGTCGTGGTAGGCCTACTTAGGAATGCCAGGACGGTCGGTCCCCGCTCGATTTCGGGCGACGAGGGCTGTGTTCAGAGTCAACGGGGTGCAAAACATACCCCGACCACCATGATTGGTGTTTCTTGGGCAGCGTTGGGCGTGAACTGGGCAGCCCTTGTTGATTTGTTCCATTTGTGTGTTTGCTAAACGGCATCGCTCGTCGGGCTGCTTATTCTTCGGGTGTCGGTTTTGCCCTGTACACATCATGGCGGTGGCGCGGGGACGCATTTTGGGACGCGCCGTTTTCTCTAGTGCCGCCGCGCGGAGGCCTGTTGTGTTATTCCATGGGCGGGCCCGAACCCAATCAATTTCATCAGCCTGCCTACTTCATTCGGGCCGGACGAAAAGGGGGGATAGGGAAAAGGGGGGTTCTGCTGCATGCAGCTGGTTTCGGCCCCACCGAGGGGCCCATTCCTCGATACGTGGCCGCCTCCGGCATTGGAAGGCGCTGGGAAAATCAGCTACGTGAGCGTTTCTCAAACCCCCCCTTTACGCAAAGGCTTCGCTTGTCGGGCTGCTCATTCTGAGGGCTCGTGGGCGACGAGCGGGTCCCCGGGGGGAAGGGAGGGGTCCCAGGCCCAGGCCCCGCTCTTCATTCGGGGCCCCAGCCAGAGGCCCTGCGGCGTTCTCCAGGGAGGGGCCACGCGTCCCACCTTCCCCTTCCCCCTCCCCTCCTCCTCCCTTCTCATCTCCCAGCTCCTAATCCTCCTCGTCCTTCTCCTCCTCCTCCTCCTCCTGCGCGCGAAGCAAGGCGCGCATGGGGTCCAGCCCCCACGAGCGCCCGAGGGATGGGGCTTCGCCCACCCCGCGACCCCCTAGAGCTAGGGGCCGCCCCGCCGGCGGGGCCAGAGGAGGGAGAGAGAGCGAGGCGAGGAGAAGGGGAAAAGAGAGGAGGCGCCGGCCTCACGCGTGCTGCTCGTTGAGCAGCACTCACCGCCGACGGCGGCCAGCCCCCATGCCTCCCTGGCTCTTCCTGCACCAGGGGACACAGGCTACCCCACGTCACCGTGCGGGGCACACGGTGCGTGTTTCCGCACATGGGTAGCCAGGCCCGCTCCCCCCAGTCCCCTTGCCCAAGGGGGACAGAGCAGGACACCCCGTGAGCCTGGCCGAAGCCACACCCCCCCTCCACACCCTGGCGCGACCGGGGAGTCGCCGGGCCAAGACAGTGGAGGGGACCCGATTCGGCCGCAGCCGAATCGGGATTACCGTTTGGGTCCGAAGACTGGGGTCGGTGCCCCCACTGCCGAAACCACCCACCCACCCACGGCAATGCCGTGGGTGGGTGGGTGGTTTAAGCAGCGGCGCAGCCCCCGCACAGGCCACGACTGAGCGGGTTTCAGTTCCCCCGGACGCCGGGAGGTGCCGCCCACACCAACCGGCTGCCCGCCCGGGGGCTCCTCCTCCTCCTCCTCCTCCTCCTCCTCCTCCTCCTCCTCCTCCTCCTCCTCCTCATCCCTCGTTACCTCTTCAGATGTATTTGTCTTGATATGCTCAATACGTCCCGACCCACTGCCCCAGAGCCGGCTTTTCATCCCGAGTCGTCTTTGGGCGGTTCCAGGGTATGGCGAGGGCCCCCGAAGGCCGAAAACGGCCCAGCGTTTTCCGTCGCGATTCGTTTGCGACGCTGGCGTGTCTGGGTTCTCACCCTCATCCTCGCTCCTCGCCCCTCTTCGCCCGTTTTTTTTGGTTTTCTCTCTCTCTCTCTCTCCTTCTCTCCCTCTCTCTCTCTCTTTCCCTCTCTCTCTCTCTTCTCTCCCCTTCTGTCCCCGCCAGGGGTCATCCCACCACCCCTGTGTAGCAAGCGGCGCCTCCCGCTCTGTGAGGCGGGCCCACGGAGAATGCGCGGCTCGGGCCGGCCCGGACGGTTATGTTGTCCGAAGTGGTGCGTTCTCGCACCCAGGACCTCTCGTTGACTTCTACCGATGTGTGTCTGTACATATGTGTATGCATATACCCTTCTCTCCGCGGCACCCAAGCGCCGCGACAGTGATACATACATAGATATATACTTACATACATACCTACACATATACATAAGCACACACATACCTACATACAGACATACATACATACATACATAACAGGCATACGTACCATACATAACAATACATACATACATATATACATACCATTACATACAACATATCTGCATACATACATGCATGCATGCATACATAAACACATACATACGTACATACATACATACATACATACATACATACACACATACATATATACGTACATACATACATACATACATACATGCATGCATGCATACATACATACATACATACATACATACATACATACATACACACATACACACATCCATCCATCCATCCATCCATCCATCCATCCATCCATCCATCCATCCATCCATCCATCCATCCATACACACATACACACATACACACATACACACATACACGCTCACATACATACATACATACATACATACATACATACATACATACATACATACATACATACATACATACATACATACATACATACGAACATACATACATACATACATACATACATACATACATACATACATACATACATACATGTATATATACATACATACATACATACATACATACATACATACATACATACATACATACATACATACATACATACATCCGTACATACATGCATGCATGCATGCATTCATACATGCATACATACATACACACATACATACAAACTTACATACATACATACATGGTCCAGGGCATGCCCCCCCCCAATGCTGATGCCATTGGGCCCCCCCCCCGCGCGATGGTCCCCCCCCCGCCCCCCTCTGTGGGCGTGGCGTGGTGCTGCGCTGTGGTGCCCCCCCACTGTGGATGTGGCGTTGTGCTGTGGTGGTTCAGAGGTGGGCGTGGCGTGGTGCTGCGCTGCGGTGCCCCCCTCCCCCCCCCCTGTGGATGTGATATGGTGCTGTGGTGGTTCAGAGGTCGTCGTCGTCGTCCTCGTCCTCGTCCTCGTCGTCCTCGTCGTCCTCGTCGTCCTCGTCGTCCTCGTCGTCCTCGTCTTCGTCGTTGTCGTCGTCGTCATCGTCGTCGTCGCCGTCGTCATCGTCGTCATCGTCGTCGTCGCCGCCGCCGCCGGCGTCGTTGCCGCCGCAGCCGTCGTCGTCGTCGTCGTCGTCGCCGCAGCCGTCGTCGTCGCGTCGTGGTCGTCGTCGTCGTCGTCGTCGTCTCTGGGACCATACCATCTGGGGGGGGGGGGCCGAGGAATCCTGGGACCATAACCATCTGGGGGGGGGGGGCGTGGGCCCGCAGCCCGGGACCATATATGGTCCAGGGCTTGGGATGCTGATGCCATTGGGCCCCCCCCCCGCGCGATGGTCCCCCCCCCGCCCCCCCATGTGAGCGTGGCGTGGTGCTGCGCTGCGGTGCCCCCCCCCACCCTGTGGATGTGGTGTGGTGCTGTGGTGGTTCAGAAGTGGGCGTGGCGTGGTGCTGCGCTGCGGTGCCCCCCTCCCCCCCCCTGTGGATGTGGTGTGGTGCTGTGGTGGTTCAGAGGTTGTCGTCGTCGTCGTCCTCGTCGTCCTCGTCGTCCTCGTCGTCCTCGTCGTCCTCGTCGTCGTCGTCGTCATCGTCGTCGTCGTCGTCGTAATCGTCGTCGTTGCCGTCGTCATCGTCGTCGTCGTCGTCGTCGCCGCCGCCGCTGGCGTCGTCGCCGCCGCAGCCGTCGTCGTCGTCGTCGTGGTCGTCGTCGTCGTCGTCGTCGTCGCCGTCGTCGTCGTCGTCGTCTCTGGGACCATACCATCTGGGGGGGGGGGGCCCGAGGAATCCTGGGACCATAGCCATCTGGGGGGGGGGCCCTGAACCTTCGACCCTAGATCATATATGCCCTTCGGTGCATCTCTCCACCTCGCCCTCGCCCAGGACGCGTCCCCGGCGTCCCTCACCCGCAGGCGGAGCCCCGCTGGCCCCCTCAGCGCGCGGCCCCCGGCCTCGGGGAGGGGCGGTGCGGGCGGCGGCGGCGGGCGGCCCAGGAGAGCGGCACGGACTCGGGAGGGAACGTCTCTCACCGAGCGCGCTCCTCTATGCACTGCCTACTCGCAGACATCCGAAAACAAACACGTCTGCTTCGATGTAATTTCTAAGATCCCCCGCGGCGGATTCAGGCCATTTGCGAGTAGCTACTTTGCGAGTAGTGGAACGCGCTCGTCTACTGGACTCAGGGGAGAACGTTTCGGGTTCGTCGAGGTCTCCCAGATGAGGTCCGAGAAGATGGGGGCAGAGGATCGCGCCGCATCGCCGATGCATCGCCGATGCGGCTCGATGCGAAGCCCGGTGTTCTCCACGCCGACGTCGCCAGTGCAATGGCGATGCATCTGCGGGTTAGAGGTTACAGGTCTTCAGACGTTTCCGTCGAGGTTCGAGGGGCAACGCCAGGGTTCGAGGTTTGAGTTTTCGATGGTTTTCGGACTCGAATTGGCCCGAACGGCCCTCCAGAGGGCCGACTTATGACCCGAAAGCGAGGAGGTAATTTGTAACGGCCCTCCAGAGGGCCGATTTCTGGCCCGAAAGCCAGGAGGCAATTGGTTGCAGTGCATGTATCGCCCAGCAACCGCTGGGTTTAGCCCGAGGAGGAGGAGGAGGAGGAGGAGGATGACGACGACGACGACGAGGAGGATGAGGACGGCGACGACGACGAGGAGGAGGAGGAGGAGGAGGAGGAGGAGGAGGAGTAGGGCGAGTCCGATAAGGGGGAGGCGGCGGAGGAGGAGGAGAAGGAGGAGGAGGAGGAGGAGGAGAAGGAGTAGGAGGAGGAGAGGAGGAGGAGGAGGAGGAGGAGGAGGAGGCGGAGGAGGCGGAGGAGGAAGACTCTCTGAGGAAGACGTCGGAGGAGGGCCAGTCGAGACAACGGCGGCAACCCCTGGCGTTAATTTTGTGTTGGTTGAGGCTCCTGGGGGCGTTACATCGCCACGGATGGATTCGCCTTGGAACCCAGCAGGGGTATGGGGACCGATCTAGGAGCGTGCGGTTCCGCCCTCGGGGTCCTGTATCTCGTTTATTGTCTATGTATTGCCGATTCAAGGTCACTGCCTTTCCCTCTGAGCCAGTCCCCCCTTGTCGACCCTCCTCATTTGAAAGGGGGGGATCGGGAACACCGCAGCGGGGACGGAAAGAACGGGGACGAAGAACGACAGCAGTGACCCCCTGGCGGCGCCCCCGGCGCCGCCCCTGGCGAGCTGCGCGCGCCATCTAGGGAAGTCCAGCGCCGATGCAAGAAGTCTGCGGGGATCTCCGCAAGTTCACAGCTGAGTAGGGTCGAGGGTTAGAGAGCTCCCCTGAAGGACTATCAAGAAACGTCAAGGTGGTCAAACGCCTCGCCGGTTACGCCGACGAGTATGTGCAACATTCAACCGTTCGTTTATGTCCAACGTTTTGCCTTGACGCCAGGTGTGGTGCATCAGTCTCAGCTTGACCGAACAGGTTGGTTACGCCCCTGGACGTCCGTGTGGGGTCTTGTGCAGACCTGACCCCCTCAGCCCTACTCAAAGTTTACAGCGAAGAATGTTGACAACTTTGGGCTCTGGAGGGGCTCTGCTCTTTGGGCCGTTCCCCGGGTCGATGTCGGGGAACCGATTCGCGGCCGAGGTTCGCCGTGGCTTGAAGAGCACCCCCCTTCGTTACGCATTCAACGTGCGGCGGCTGCCTGGGAGTGTGCCGTCAAATCTGGGGTTCGCGCCGCAACTTTCGCCACGTCAGCCGCTCCTTGTTTCGTTCGTATCTGGTGTTTCTTGTTTGTCAGTCCCTATGGCGGCACGGTGATTGTGGGCCAAACCGGCTCCAGATTGGCTCCTTATGGCGGCGTTCTTGGTTCCTTGGCTCTGCGGGGCGATGTGATGTTATGAAACATGGTTGTAGGTGTATGGCGATGTTTGTCCTTCTGGCCCTGTCCGCTTCGAGCAGGGCTCGTTGTCCGTGCCGCCGCCGGCGTGGTCCATCTGCGGTGCCCGTGGCCCTGGCCAGCAGCGGCCGCTGCTGGTCTTGGACCACGACTGCCCTTTGGAGTCGCCCTCGTGCACGTCCTGCGCCCCCGCCTCGGGCGTGCCGAGAGGCGGAGGATGGGAGGGTGGGAGGCGGGGGACGGAGGGAGAGACACCGAGGGAGGACTTGAGGGAGGGAGGATAGGATCGGAGGGAGGGCGCAGGAGGATGGGCGGAGGATAGGCGGAGGCGGAGAATGATCAAGGATAAGAGGAGGACAGGAGGCAGGGAGGCGGAGGGTAGGCGCACATATGGACCGAGTGTGCGCGGATGAGCGACGGATCCCGCTTCCAGACGAGGTCGACGCGCTCCGTCGTAACAACGGGCGGCACTGGCGCCACACGTTTCAGGGGAGGGTGCTGGTACGTGCATTCCCCGACCCACGCCGCCGACGGGGGGTTGGGAGCCCGCATCCCCCCCCCTCTCGTCCTCGCCCCCCCGCCTCTCGCTCGCCCCCGACCCGCGCGGCCCCGGGGGCGGGGAGCGGAGCGGGGGGGGGGGGGTCGGAGGGGGAGGAGGAGGGTCGACGAGGGGCGGGGCGGAGCAGAAGTGCTGCCCTGCTGGGTCGCTCCGGGGGAGGAGGCGCCGCTAGGGGGGGGGGGTGCGCGTGCGCGCTCCTGCGCTCCAGAGGAGGAAACGCAAGCGTGTCTCAGGGCGCGCGGGATCAGCGACCGGGCCTGCCTCCATACGACACCGCTGCGCTCCGTCGCCAAGTGAGACGGCGCTGGCTTCACGCTTCGGGGCTGCGTTCCTCGATCCGTGGGTCTGCCTGTGCGCCACACGCGCCAGATCCGCGGATCCCCAAATCCATGCTGGGGCGTGTGCCCGAGAGCGAGGAGGGGAGGGGTTGGGGAGGGTTGGAGCCAGCCAAGGGGCTGAGGTGGGGCATCGCTGGCCCCAGCCGTGAGAGAAAGGGGGAGGGGCACCACAGGAGACAACCTTCGTTCCTCTTCCCCTCTGGTGAAGCTTGTTTTCCCTCCCCAGGGGAACGCTCGTTACCAGCCCCCCCTCCCCTCGGAAACGCGAGCGATCGTATTGGGGGGGGCTTGGACCCACTTTTACGTGCTGATTGCACACAGGCGATTGATGTGCCGGTGGCGCGGACGCACCCTGGCGAGCGCACGCCGCCGCCGCCGTTACCGTTACCCTCGCGCCCGTCCCCCCCCCTTCTGGGTAACGACCCTTGCCCGGGAAAGAAGAACAACTTGTCACGTTGGGCCGCCTTCCCAAGATGGGCATTGAATGCCAGCTCTGCGACCTTCCCCTCCCTTGCTGGTTCTGCTGGTGCCCATCCAGGGCAGGCCCCCCAGCCGCCTCCAAAGGGAAGGGAGGGCGGGAGGCGGGCCAGGTGACCGCGCGCGCGCCCGCAAGGCTCTACATGCGGAACGTCAGCAGCTCGGCGCCCCTTTGCCCCCCCCCCTCTCAGCCGCGCGCGCGCCCCCCCCGCCCCTTTTCGACCAGCTGGTGGTCGGCAGCGTCAGAGGGGGCTCACGGGGGGGGGAAGGGAACGGTTAAAGATTCGAGGTTTTCGGACGTGTTCTTTGCCTCTCGGCGGTTTCCAGCCTCGGGTGCTCTCCAGCAGCTACGGCAGCGGGAGGCCCGAGGATAGCCCGAAAACAATGCAAGGGGGATCGGCTCAAGGGGGGGAAGCACCGACCCCCAGATCGCCCACTCGTCGCCGATAGATGGCCCACCCCTCTCAGGAGGGTGCGGCGCTTAGCTATCGGGGCCCTGCCGCGGATCTGTCGACGGACGAGGAGGAGGAGGAAGAGGAGGAGGAGGAGGAGGAGGAGGAGGATCAGGCTCGACGTTTCCCCCCCGCGCCGGTCCCAGCCTGGCAGCTCCTTGTCAGCTGTGGGCTGGGGCCTGCCCTCATGCGTGCGCCGCGGCGGGCCCCGCCTCCCCGCCCCGCGCCCCGCGCGGCCTCGGGGGCATGGCCCCTTCCACCCCCGCCTTCCTGCGAGCTGTTGCCCGCGCGCCCGTCTCCATTATCAAGCAGTGGCGAAGCGTCCTGGCGTACCTATAGGCCTACCAAACAATGTTCTAAGAACCTTTTGTGGTTTCCACGAAATGTTCTTAGAACATTTCTGGCTGAGACGGTCTTGTTTTAACTCATCGGGAACATGTTCTAAGAACATTGTTTTGTTTTTGAACATTTTGGGTTTTACAACATTTCGTGGTAGGTCTATAGGAATGCCGGGACGGTCGGTCCCTGCTCAACATTATGCCCCGCCGCTTTCCGATGCGGTTGTCTCTTCGAGACGCGCAAACGAATGCCATCCCATGTTGCCCGCGCGGTAGGTGTCAAGCCTCCTTCCTCGTTCCCCGTGCCCGCTCCAGGCCCCCGCGTTCCGCCCCAGACGAATGTCACAAAGCGTGATCATGTCATGTGCTTCTTCATCATGTGGTGCGCCACGTGCGGCGCCGAACCAAAGCCGCATGCGCTTGCAGGAGAGGTGTTTGGACGTTGCCCGCTCACTCCGACTAGCTGTATGATTCTGCGCGCCCGACCCGCGCCAATCTCGTGGGAGGGGATGCGTTCGCTGGGCGCTTCCGCGGTGGATGCATTTCCCCCTGCTAGGTCGGCGTGCTGTGGGCAATCGCGCGCAACGGCATGGTGGGCGAAGTGGGGCAGAATCCAACAGTGCGATCCGCAATTTGTCCAAAGTTTTGGTTTGACGCCTGATGCGGTGCATCAAGTCTGGCTTGATCGAACAGGTTGGTTGCGCCCTTGGACGTCCGTTTGGGATGTCCAGCGGACCTGGCCCCCCGGGCCCCAGCTCTGAGGAGGGAGGAGGGGGGTTTTCTTCTCTCCTCCGCCGCCATGTTCCCCTCGGGCGGCGACCGCCGCCCGCGAGGTGCTGCAGCTCCGGCTCCGCCCCGTGCAGGTGTTCGAGCCCCCCGCGGTGCTGGGCGCTGGGCAGGCGCGGCGCCGCCGCGGCGGTGCCGCTGCCGCCGACCGTTGCCGCAGCCCGTCGTCGGCGTCGTCCGTCGCCGTCGTTCGACGAGGGGAACAGCTGAAAAAACAGAAGAGATGTGGTGGCAATTCATTCAGTCACCGCTCGAAGGTTTTTTGGGAGTGTTCAACGTGCTGTCGGGCACCCTGATTGTGCCACCGCTGGCGCCAGTTCTCGGTGTGGTGTTCGGCGGAAGCTGCGCCCCGTGGCGGCTGGATCTGGAACCTCGCAGGAGGAAGCGCTGCATAAACAGAAGTGTTCGGAGCTTCGCGCGGATTTCTTGGATCTGCGCAGGGCACCTTTGGCGGCATTTGCAGCGCCGCCTCTGGCGCGCTCCGGTCGCCAGGGAGGGGGGTGCAGCACAGATCCAGGAGATTCGCACGGAGTTCCGATTAACCTATGTTACTGCAGTGGTTTCTTCCTCTGGTCATCGTCCGTCGTCGTCAAAGTCAGTCGTCGTGGCCGTGGTCGCCGTCGTCCGTCGTCCGTCGTCCGCGCGCCAGTCCGTCGTCGGGTCGTCGTTCTGTTTCCGTCATTCATCATCGTCGTCGTCGACATCGACGTCGTGGACGTCGTTGTCCGTTGTCCGTCGTCGGCATCGTCGCTGTATCTCGAGGGTTGCGGATGAGGGGTCGAGGGTCGAGAAACGAGGGTCGAGGATGGACGATCGAGGTTTCTGGCGTTATCGGGGCTTTGGTGGGCTCGAGGGCGCGTTCGCGGCCACGGCTGGCTTCGAGGAGGAGGAGGAGGAGAAGGAGGAGGAGGGGGCGGAAGAGAGAGGAGGAGGAGGAGAAGGAGGAGGAGGAGGAGGATCGAGGATCGAGGAACGAGAAGCAGGAGGAGGAGGAGAAAGAGGAGGAGGAGGAGAAGGAGGAGGAGGATCGAGGAGGGTGATCGAGGAGGTGATGGGGGCTGGCGCACGCCATTTTTTGGGGTCCTCCCAACCGTGCTGGAGGATTTTCACAGCCGTGGGCGCCTGGAGGCAGCTGCTGGGCACATGGGGCCTTTAGGAAGCAGCCCGCAGCGAGAAGCCATCCCGAGGGAGGAGTCGGGGAGAGCCCGTGTCAGGGGCTCGAGAAACATCAAGTTGTCGGAGATATGCCCCCATACCTCCGTCGGACGCGGGCCACTCCTTGCTTAGGTCATTGGACTGGAGGGACAGGCGCGTTAGTGCCGCAGCCCTCCGAACGACGCAGGCCCGTTGCTCCTACGCGCGGGCCAGCGCAGTATCTTGGAGATGGGTGGAGAACTCCGATCACGACTCCCAGAGAGGGCGGCCCCATCCGAGGAGACTAAGTTCGAAGAAGAAACAGCGGCATCAACATACACTTTCGGAGCGTAGCGCATTTTTTCCGGCCAGGGGGTCGAGAGCAGATCCCATAGATCCGCGCGGACCTTCAAACGTCTATGTCTATGTCGTTTCTTCTTCCTCTATGAGGGGGGCGCACGGAAGATCTGCGTGACCAATTGGTGCCAGATGAGAGGCACGGCAATCAGCTGGCCCCCTGGACAAGATTCCCATGTGGAGGGACCCCCATCTGGGCAGATCAGGTTGCTCCACTGGAGACTTGTTCAATGCAGGGGAAGGTGCGGAATCAGTCCCTCTGTGGCCCCAGCCTCCATCATTCGTTTCTGCCCTCCACCCTCCGTTCGCCCTCCCTTCTCCCTCCTTCCCCCCTCCCTCCCTCCCCCTTCCCTCCAGTCAAGCAGTGACGAAGCGTCCCGGCTCGCCTATAGGCCCACCAAAGAATGCTCTAAGAACCTTTGGTGGTTTGCACGAAAGGTTCTTAGAACATTTCTGGCTGAGTCTGTCTTGTTTGAACACATCGGGAAAATGTTCTAAGAACATTGCGTTTGTTTCTGGGTTCCAGGAACATTTCGTGGTAGGCCTATAGGAATGCCGGGACGGTCGGTCCCTGCTCATTCCAGGAGACTTCGAGGATCGCCGAAAGCCGAATTTCCGAAGACGATCGAGAACTGCCGACGACCGCCGAAGCCCTCTTCAGCCTCCATCCGCCGAACACGAAAAACATGGTGGCATTCTGCCTGCTGGTTTCTCGTGGGTTCCCACAAGAGCGCGGGTGGTGAGCGCCGTCCCCGCCGAGGGGTGGACCTCGCCCACACAACAATGTCAGGGCCTTCTGCGCGGCAGCCCTCCCGGACGCGACCAGCCCCGCCCCCTCCCAGTGAGCTCATTGCCGCTATCCCACTGCATGCGCCGCGTCGCACGCCGGCAGCTGCCCGCAGGAGTGCTTCGGCAGGACAGGAGCGCGAAATTCATTTTGCGCCAAAAATCGGTAGTTGCCAGAGGCGTTTCTGACTTAAGGTGGTCCCGGCTTTTCGCGCCAGTTTGGGGCTCTTGGGGCCCTCTGAGCCCCACTAGCGACGCTCTGGAGGACATGAGGGCCTCCCGCGAAATCCTTGGAACTCCTTGGACCAGGGACACCTTTGGCAACGATAAAAAAACTGACACAACTCCCCCTCAATAGTATACACGTACATGGCAGTCTTGGAAATTAGTTTTTTTGTTGGATTATCCGACTCCAAAATATTGTAGACGCCTTCCTCCTCCAAGGGTCGAGTTACTTCCCTCTTCCCTCCCCTTCACGCGGCGGGCGGAGTTCCAATCTTCTTCCAACGCTTTCCTTCTCAGTGCTCCTGCCCCCTTCTCCTGACCCACGGGTACGGAGTGCCCCTCCCCCGCCGCGCCCCCACAACACCTCCGGGTCGCGACCCGCGCCGGCTCCAAACCCTTTGGCCCCACGTAAGGAGGCCTTCGGGCCTGGGGCCATCGAGGTCCGACCCCCTCCCCGGCCGCGCCCTCCCCCTCCCCCGCGCGAGGGCAGCGACGCGACGGCGGGGGGCGGCAGTGCGGGCCCCACCGCCGCCGCGCCGCCGCGCACGCCGCTCCGAGGCGCCCCCCCCGCCGCCGCCCCCGCCGCCTCTCCACCCCGAGGACAGGAGCAGGGCTCATCCCGATTCCTCCGATGCGATTCGATTCCATTTCGACGGTTTCCAATTGCGATTCGATTCGACTTCGGATTCCGATCTGGATTCCGAGTTTTCCATGGAGGCCCCAGTGGCCTGCATATTTCCGCCGATTCATATTCCCCCGACTTGGATACCGATTCCCGCCAGTCCATTTCATTTCGATCGCCGATTCAACTCATCGATTCGATGCTGGGCTCTCCTGTTTTAAGTAGGTACGGAAAGACTTGGGACGAAAATCATCAGCAGGCACTGCCAATTTGTAGCAGGATGCGCCCGCTGACGTTGTTCATTCGAGACAGAAGGGCGCCTACCCAACCGCAACCGCTGTCGATTTTGGATTTTTTGGTGCAATTTGGTACCGCACCAGCTCTTTCTCTACCCACTTCGGGCGTGCCAAATGTACC